ATCATGAGACTTCTCCCAGCTGCTTATAGAATATTTCATCTGCCTCCCCATCCTGGTTGGGTGGTCTATAACAGACTCCCACCATGATATCTGCCTTGTTGGCCTTTCCCCCTGATTCTTACCCATAAACACTCCACTCTTTCATCACCATTGTCAAGCTCTCGACAGTCAAAACACTAACACACAGGGCTACCCCACCGCCTCTCCTTCCTTGCCTATCCCTTCTGAAGAATTTATATCCATCCATTGCAGCACTCCAGTTGTGTGAGTCATCCCACCATGTTTTTGTGATTGCAACTTTTTCATAGTTTTCCAGCTGCACAACGGCTTCCAACTCCTCCCGTTTGTTGCCCATGCTGCGTGCATTGGTGTAAATGCGCTTCAGCTGGGATATTGATCCTGCCACCTTTTTTGGGGAGAAGCCCTAATTCCTATGTGACTGTTTTCAGGCGCTTCCATGGTGTCTAACACTTCAACAACCCTTGCACCTTTGCTGCTGTGTGGATCTCCATCCCCTACCTCCACTGAGATGGCTCGGGTAGTTACGACCCAGACTGGTTAACTCAGGGGGTTGTAGTGGTTTCGTGATTCCCTTGGGCTAAATTGAGGTGAAACGACACCGAATGAGCAATTAAACATTTTATTTATGGTAGAAGCAACCTGAACTTGGAAAGCATAACGGTAGGTGGCATGGGTTCTATTGAGACGTTTAGAAGAAGAAAAGGAAAATGAAGAAAAGGAGGGGAGAGGGGGAATATTTCACCACCCTTGGATCCCGCAACGAGGACTGCGGATGCGCACGTGGTGCCTTTTATAGTCCAGTCCCCGCCTCTCGGTCACGCCCCTCAGGGAGTTATGTAACTCCTGATCTCCTGCGCAGGCGCCACCGTGGGGGTGGTTGCGAGCCCCTTCCTCAAATGAGCTCTGTATGACCTCTGGCCATATGTGGTGCGTTGTCCTGCCAGGCCTATCCGAACACGGAACTGCGCACCCTGCGGCATGCCCTCCGTGACCCGTGCCTCTTGCCTGTGGCTGACCATTGCCACGCAGACCGCAACCTGCTTTGCCACAATGCTGGGGACGTCGACATACCTTAACTCTTGTCAGTCTCTCGCAGGTGCTGCGCACATTAGTACAGGGACGTTTCAAATGCGCTCCGGTGTACTCAGCCCATCATGGAGCAGACCAAAGGACCTCACTAGCACACCATCCCTCACTGGCGTGCCACCCCTGGCCTTATCTCTAGCGAGCCTGGTTTTACCCCTTTCCCCTTTAAATCTAGTTTAAAAATCTTCATCGTGGTTTAACCTCAGCCGGCAACTGAGCACCACACAGCTGCTTGCTCACTCTCCCCTCCCCCATTGGGATGGGGGAGAGAATCAGAAGAGTAAAAGTGAGAAAACTCTGGGCTTGAGATAAGAACAGTTTAATAATTGAAATAAAATATAATAATAATAATAAGAAAAATATACAAAGCAAGTGGTGCCCCACCCGCCGACCGATGCCCAGCCA